TCTGCAGGACAAAAGACAAAGTTCATGGACTTTTTTGTGATGGCTTTGATGGCTTCAGGTTTTTCCTCAAAGAATTGCCTGAAGAGAGTGAGAGAACAGAAGATGGGGTTGGAGTCTGTAATACACTCTGAGCAGAGCAGCACAGACTACAAACGGGAGGCTTTCCAGCCCACACGGAGGGCCCAGGAGAGGGTTGAAGATAAAGAATTTACCTTGGTGATAACAGGGACCATTTTGGGATTTCCTCCAAGAGACCTCTGCCAGGCAGAGTAAAGTGGAAGGTTTTGTTTAGAAGAGTAGCTACCCCAAAAAGGACAAGCAGGTGAGAGTCGGGGGTTTGAGCAGGAGTGGTTGGAAGGATGAGTCATGACATCTAGAAGGAACTGAGGAGGAAAGGAAGACAGAAGACTAACGTTGGAACACAGTACAGCGGTCTACAAACTGTCAGTCTCATCAAGGTTGGAAAACAGATGCATCAAGGAAATGAGGGTAATAGAAGTCATGATCAGAAATTAACAGTTGGAGTTTAACATTTTAGAGGTGCATGGCATCCTACTATTTTTTTGCTTTTTTAGTTCATATGATGTGGTAGTAACAGCCCCCAAGATGTCCACATCCTAATCACCAGAACCTTTAAATATGTTATCTTTCATGGCAAAAGGGACTTTGAGTTTTGATTAAGTTAAGGGTTTCAAGATGTGGGAGCTCCCTGGATTATCGAGTGCGCCCAATGTAATTGCAAGGGTCCTTAAAGAGGGAGGCAGGAAGGTCACAGTGAGGGAAAGAAATGTGGCTTTGGAAGCAGAAGTTGGAGTGATGCAAGGAAGGGGCCACAAGCCAAAGATTGCGGGGGCCTCTCAAAGCTCGAAAAGGCAAGGAAACAGTCTCCCCCAGAGCCTCAAGAGGAGCACTACCCTATTGACACCTTGACTCCAGGACTTCTGACCTCCACAACTGTTAGGTGATGAATTTTCATTTTAAACAACTAAATGTGTGGTAATAATTTTACAGCAGCAATGGAAAACTAATACATATGTTATCACTAAGCACTTTTATGTGTTTAAGTGGACTGTGCTTGTATTATGCTAAACACACACAGTAATAGTCACATGGTAATATCTAAAAGTCATATTTGTGACTTTCTAATAACTGAGTGGCCAACATTGCTGTCCGTCACAGAGCCAAACCAATTATCCAGCACTGACAAGCCGGTCCGAGGCATTGAAACTCTTCTGAGTTATTGAAATGGAAGTGCTGAAGAGCGTTGAAGAAGTCCCCATGGAAACATTTAAAAGACACTTGGATGCTTTTGTGTGTACTCATTAACTAAGCAATGAAACTTTTTGAGACAGAGGACCCTAATTTCAAGTACAATTCAAAGGATTTTGGAATAATAACAAACGCCTATGCTCGCTACAGGCAGACTTGCCAGGAAGAGAGGTAGGCATCTTATGTCCAAGCTTTATTGAAAAATATATATTTTTAACGCCAGTCAAATCAACACATGCAGTAAAATTCTCTCAAGGGAATTTTACAAGCATGTAAAATCAAATACAATGTAAAAGTCTTTTTTAATGCTATCTCTGGTTTTACATAGATGCACAAGCATATTAATAAGTTTGATAGAATAGTCTTAACGTAGATATATGCAAGAATGAAATTCATTCAGTTTCAAGCAGCACTAAATGTTCTGGGCCTTCAAGCCCACATCCTGCCTAGGCCAGACGTATTTCTTCATCCCAATCAGGTTTAATATTTAATTGTTGTGCTTTTTGAAATCCAAACTGTCAACATGCCCTCTTCCTTCTCTCTCGTCCTTGTGCCTAGGGAAGAGGCGCAATGATCTGTGCTTATATAGCAAAAGACATCAGAGCCGGCGAGTCCCTCCTCTGCCTCTCACTCCAACACCGAGGAGCTGGAATCACGTGTTGGCTCTGGCCTTTGAGTGGGGCTGAAATTGTCAGCTCTTTAGGGAGCTCCACAAGGCCCACCCTTGCACAGTTCCCTGTCCTCTTCTCCTCTACCACTAAGGCAACAAGCAATCCACCCAAAAGTCTCTGTTTCTGACAAGCCCCAGCTGCCTCCTGTGGCATGCACATATCAATCCTTGCCAAGCCAAGGTGGGGAGCACAGGCTGCCCCGGGATGCTCTCTCTTACAGCTCCATCCACAGCAGCACCAAATGCTCTGTCAGCTCAGTGGCGCACAACCCTACCCCCATCCCACAGTTCTTACTAGGCATGGAGGGAGCTAGGGAAACACAGATATCAACGGAAGAGGGTGGAACAAATAGAAACCTCCCTGCTCTCTTCCTCCCAGGCTGTCCGGCAAGGGAAGGGAGGGAGAAAGGCATTGTAAATACTTCATGAACCTTCCTTCAGAGGTCTGATATTCTTGCCTCCTCTGTGTCCTTTATTCTTTAAAGACCAAAGGAGTAGGGTTTAAGAAACTGGTTCTGCTGGGTGCCTTCCTTTAGCAAATCTCACAGTGCGGGACTGTCGTCAAGAGGGCATTTATTTCTCTGAACTTCAAGGCTGAGACATTGGCAAGGTCTTAAACCATGGACTCTGGTTGGCAGTCCCAGGGAAGTACAGATGTCCCTCACCATCCCCTACCACTGTTTCTAGATGTATAAATTTTGTATTATGGTCCTCATTAATTTTGGAATTTTTATATTATAAAGTGGTTTTCCAAAGACAGATCCCCAATAACCTTGTGCCTCTAAGAAGTGAGTTTTCTATTTAAACCAGCTTAACTTGAGACTACAATCTTTGCACTAACTAAGTTATAATTCAGGAGGTCACTATATTGATTTCAAAAGTCTAACTGAAACTCTGGGATAAAAGCTTCTGAGAAGTAAGGGTAGCAGGGATGAGGGGAGGAAGTCCATGGAAAGAGTTTGCATTTGTGAGAGAGCCTAGCAATCAGAAGCATTTATTCTGAACTCAAAGTAGAATATTAAGGCCAAGTTGAAAGAAAGTATATTGTGTCTGAGGAATTTCTGATTCCTGCCATGAAGAAGTGATAGGGTCTGAAATTATCTCCCCCACAACTGTAAACTAGAAAAGATTGGTAAAATATAATAAAAACACTAATTTCCAGACATTGGTCAACAGAGCTGCTTAGGACTACGATCACTGAAGAAAGGAAAATAAACTATGTGTGCCCTGTGAGCACCCTGGCTTTCTGCCTGCGGGAAATGTCCAGATCATAGCACTGCGAGGGGAATCCCACACAAAGCCTGGTGGTCTCACGGAGTGAAGGAGACTGGAGTTCACAGGGAGTAGAATTCTTGGAGCAGAGGACTAGACATGAGGGAGCTAGAAAGAGAAAGAGCTCGAGAAATCAGCGTGGAGTCCTCTCCGCCTTTGGCCAAGTCTCTCTCTTTACATGAATAGGGTGAAGCTCTACAATTTGGGGGAAGAACAATTCCCGAGGAGCTGTAAGCTGAATAAATCTGAGAGTTTACATAAGACCAAGAATAATTCATGTTCCCACCAGTCAGAGTAAGAGGTCTCATTGAACAGACAGGGCATTTAGAAGGGTCAGGTGTTAGGCACAGTTCTTAAGTAAAGGTCACTCAAAACCCACTCTTTAAAAGTTTTACAAGAAGCTTCAAAATTATTAAACTGATCCTCAGAAACTTAACCGCCTGCCAGAAAAAAGCACAACACTCTTTAAGGAAGACCAAAAAGAAAATCCACTACTCAAGACAAAATTTGACATGCCTAGCATCCAATCAAAATTTCCAGACATGCCAAGATGCAGGAGGACTTGATCCAAAACGGGAAAGTCGGTCAACAGAAGCAGACTCAGAATTGATGAAGAGATGGAAGTAATACGCAAGGACATTAAAACAACTATTAAAATACACTCCACAAGTCAAGAAGGCAGAGGGAAAATTAACATGACTGGGAGACAAATGGAAGATATCAAAAAGGCAAATAAAACCTTAAATGTGAAAAATACAATGAATGGGATTAACAGAAGATTAGAGACTACAGGGCAAAAAAGAATCAGTGAATGTGAAGACGTCGCAAGAGACACACACAGAGAATAAAAAGACTGGGGGAAAAAACACAGCCTCAGTGACCTGTGGAACAACATATGTGTAATTAGAATCCTATAAACAAAGCAGAGACGGGGGAGGCGGAAAATAATAGTTGAGTAAATAAGGCAGAAATTTTCCCAAATTTGTTGAAAACTATAAATCCACAAATCTAAGCTAAAAGAATCCCATGCAGGATAAAAACAAAGAAAATCACATCAAGAGAAATAATAATCACACTACTGAAGACAAGCAATAAAGAGAAAATCTTAAAAGTATCCATTGAAAAGGTCACATTATACAGAGGAAAACAAAAAGAAGAATCATAGATTTTTTCTCAGAAATTATGCAAACCCAAAGAAATGGAATGATATTTTTAAAGTGCTGAAAGAAAATAACTGTCAACCTAGAATTACGTACCCAGAGAAATAGATTTCAAAAATTAAGGCAAAGTGAAGATTGTTTTCAGACAAACAAAAGTTGAGAGAATGTGTCATGAGCACACCTGCACCACAGGCAGAAGATACCAGATGGGAACTCGGATCTCCACACAGAATGAAGGCCATTAAAAATGGCAAATTGTGGGTAAATAGAAAAGTCATTTTTCTCATATTATAATTTCTTTAAAAGATAATGAATGTTCAAAGCAAAAATAAAGCAAGGTATTGGGGGGTTTAAAATATATGTAGGAGTAAAACATATGAAAAATTTATAGCACAAAGAGTGAGAGGAGGAAGTTTTGTGTGTTTCTCCCATATTTCATAAATTGGTATAATATTTTTGAAGGCAAACCATCAAAAATTAAAGATGAAATTCGTAAACTCTAAAGCAGCTACTGAAAAAGGGCCCTATAGCTGATAAACCGTCGCCCCTTACCGAAGGGCTCCGCATCTTGCTTGTGGTGGTGATTCCATGAGTGTATACAACTGTCAAAACTCATCAAATTGCCCATGTCAAGAGAAAGCAGTTTATTATACATGAATTATTTCTCAAGAAAGTTAATAAAGAATAATCTAATGGAAAGCAAGAAGAAGAGGGGAAAAGAAACATAAAACAGATGGTACAAATAGAAAATAAATCACAAGTTTTGATTTTAAACTGTTCTAACCCAACCATTTTAAACTCAACCATTCAATAATTACATTAAATGGAAATACGTCAATAAGAAGCTAGAATCTTCTGACCAAATAAACAGTCAAGAGCAAACCACGTATTTGGACCCATGCCTTGACTCTGCGGCGTCTACATTCAGACGGAGGCCGCCCATGGCCACAGCAGCTAAAGGCAGCGGGGGTCTTCTACCCGTGATGGCAGGAATGCTTTACCCTGTGCACACCCCACTCCTACCACCCAGGTTGGTCACCCAATCCCTTCTCCAGGCTCCATACAACATGTCAGGCAGTCCTCTGGAAGCAGCTGCCTCCTCCGGGGGCTCCTGGGGCTTACTCTGCATGGCTCATTGCCCTTCTGCACTCTGTTCTCTCCTGCCTCCGATTGGTGCGGTTGTGATCTCTCGGGACAGTTTTTGTCTTGCCAGATGAGACGGGACTTTCCTTGCACAAATGAGACCACTCTTCTTGCTTTACCCACAGGCTCCTCACATCTGCTCCCTGCTAGCGGCAGTGTGTGGAAAGCAACAGTGTGGTCAACGTTGAGGAAGATCACATTCTAGAAATGCACTGATTACAGTCTAAAGAGTTTTACATTCATGCTTCAAAATTCCAAACAGTAAATTTAACATGACCAGAGAACAAAACATCACTTACATCTTCCTGCACACGTTGGGTAAGCCCCTCATTGTGGTCATCACCAACAAAGGATGGTAACAGTTTCTCCTGAGTCTCATGGAAGCCAGTATTCATGGACGATGTGGCCTCAGGAGGAAGGCTGTAATCAGCAGTAAATACATGGATGTACTGAATTGCAGAGGTAAGAGGATCTGTGTTTCTATGCAAACAGGTTCCCGCTGTGTGAGTAACAACAACATTGCTACATTTTCTCTGTATGGGACATGGGAAATAAGCCAGAAGCAATGCATTTGATGGTAAAAAACTGGAAGAGATGGTTCCTGGACCTGAATAGGAAGCGATGGATACTACAAAGGAACTCCATGAGCACTGATCACACAATAAATACATAAGTATCTCTTTTCTAACTATTTTTTGTAAATCTTCACTGTACCTCACAGAGGCCCATGAATTTTGTAATTCACTGTTAATCAAATTGTTTATATAGACAAAAAGCCTGGCAAAAAATATTTGCCTGGAGCCCCATACACTCTGGGGGCACTCCTGCTAAGATCAAAACCAAACACATCACACCGAAAAGAAACCCATAGACCAGTATCCCACAAGATCATAAACACAAAAAACATTACCAAAACATTAGCAGGTTGAATCCAGCATAGATAAGAAGCATAATACACCACAAGCAAGTGGCATTTATCCCAGTAAAACAAAGTTTAACAGGATAAAACTCAATCAATTTTCCGTATTACCTGAATAGGAGAGAAAACTGATAATCTCGATAGATGCAGGAAAAAGGCTTTTTTGAGAAAATTAAACATTCATTCATGAGAGCGTTTTGTATCTGGCAGAAGGGCACGGGCCGCAGAGAGAGGCCTGATCCTGGTGGTGGACTGGTTCATGAAGGCGTCCTTAGGCATCATCCCGGAACTGACGAGAACGGAGGCTAAGAAAAGGCCAGCAACTTTCTCAGGGCCTGCTGCTGCTCGGGGCAGCCTGCAATGTAAACGTTTTCCTGTCTCTGGACCACATCTCTTTCCCCACACCACAGCGTCTCCTGGAAAAGATAGCTGATGTCCTTGAGGGAAGCTGCATTTAGTACTGTTAGGAAAAAGCTAGAAAAAGTTTAAACGCTATTTCCGCAAACAACAAAATAACATTTATTTTGCATATTGAGATGTTCATAGGTGTATTTTTGAGACGTGAATTCGATGTCTAAAGATCACTATTCTTTTTTTCTATCACTGAATCAGAAGCAAATACAATTTTGGGGGACAGCATATTAAACCATTTTAGAGGCCTTCTTTAAGAAAAAGAATGCAATACAAAATTACATACAAAAATTAAGTACAAACATGAACACTTATTCTCAACAAATCACTAATTTTACAAAGCTGACAAATACCACAAACAGAAAATCCAGAAAAGTAACAAATATTCTTAATCATTAATTGCCCATCTCACCTCTACGCTACTTTTTCCTACCTTTTTTCACTCATAATTTGTTTCCATGATTTGATTTAAAATGGAGAGACTAGAAGATAATTAATTTTTTCCTCTAGCATAGTCAAATGAGTTGTTTATTATTATTACTATTAATAATCAGGATTCATAAAACAAGCAATTTCACACACAAATGTACTGTCTGGATGGTTTGTGCCCTATGAACACAGAGATCCTTACAAACTCGATTTCCACAATTCCCATTAAAAAGGAAAACAAATGGTGTGTTTATATTGAAATACACTGCATTATCAATTCTATTGCTACAGAAGAGAATTCCAGACTAAAAACAAGGCATGGAGTGCCTCTACTCGAGCAACCTCCGAATGTGTGGCACTTCTCTCGTCCTCCTCTAGCCCAGCAATGGCGTGGCTCAAGCTGTGCAGTGGGCTGCAAGGCCCTCTGTTCTGGAATGTAACTGTCTCAGTCCTTCTCCAGCTCTCTCCCCTTCTCCAGCTTAGAGGCTCATCACAGGAACCAGTGATGGCCACCGCATCTTTCCCCAAATCCACTCCCGTCTCGTGTTTGGGCTGAGGATTTTCGCACTTTCTGCACATAGAGGACAAGAACTGGACATTCTTGTTCTCAGCTTCTTGTATGCATCCATCCTTGTTCTTTGGGCAAAGGCAGAGAGACCCAGAGAATAACAGAAGAAATTCAATAAATAGGAGCAGGAAACCCCTGGGTTGTCGTCCACGGGGTGCCACTACCCAGAGGTGACCAAATTCCTAGGTAGGCTCCTTTCCAGGTAGATCGCTCTTGACAGATGCCCTTCAAAGTTTTGGAGTTATTTGATTTTTGCTAATAACATTCCCTCACTTAACCTCTTGCTACACCATCTCATTTTTAAAAGAGTTATTTGGAGCACATAGTGCTCTATTATTTTAACATCAATTAAGACAATGACCAAGAGAAAAGTCCATTTCCCTGCAGGAGTGCCTGAGCATAAAGCATCTCTCCAGTTGAGCTGTGCAGGGGATGTGGAGGTAAACTCTGAAAACCGGGGAAGGCTGTTCTGTTCCCTAAAATAATTGGGTTTTGACCTGCAATATACTCTTTCAAGGAGTAAAGAGGGAAATGTTCAACGTCATACTCCAGGTAAAGACATATCTCTCTTTCTTGCATTCTCCCCCAAGAATAGAACCTGTTTTTATCTACCGTATACTTTCACACACTTTATTTAGACATGAAATTCTTTTTTTTTTTTTTTTTTGGTGAGGAAGATTGGCCTTGAGCTAACATCTGTTGCCAATCTTCCTCTTTTTTTTTCCCTCCCCAAAGCCCCAATACATAGTTGTATATCTTAGTTGTAGGTCAATCTCGTTTTTCTATGTGGGATGCCACCACAGCATGGCCTGATGAACAGTGCTAGGTCCACGCCCAGGATCCAAACCAGTGAACCCTGAGCCACTGAAATGGAGCACGTGAACTTAACCACCCAGCCACAGAGCCAGCCCCTAGACATCAAATCCTAATGGCTTAAAAATAACCTGGGATATATACATATTGTTTCTTAAATATCAAATATTACATTTAAAAAGACAACGTAGGAAAAATAATTTGGAGACAGCCCCAGCATGGATCCTATATTAGTCACTATGCACAATTGGCCTGCTCTCCTTTCTTGCGCCCCACCCCCATTCTCCACAAGGACCCCGTCTCCTCCCTCTCACAGACTTCTGGCCATTTTCTAGCAAGGCACTTTCCCAACTCATTATTTTTACCCATTTATCAGCCTTCAACCCCTTCTCTTTATTCCTGTCCACATCATGATCGCCCTCCCACAACAAGTTTCATTCTTTCTCCTTCTTTGAGGCAGTGGGTTTTATAACCTAAACTGGGAGTGGAGAGCACTCCAACTGCTGTGAGGCTTGATCCCTTCTATCTGGAGAAATGACAGGCGAGGGGGCCAAAACAAGGGTGTGGGCGTGGGGACAGAGTGGAGCTGGGGCTCTCCAGGCCCCCTGCCGACCTTAACAGTGTTCTTTTATGTCCTCCATCACATGGGAATAGAAATCGAAAGTATTGGTCCCAGGGCCCTGGAAGCATTACTGTTAAATTGTTTGAGGATTGTTGGGCAATTAGCATATTGATTGTTGCTGCAGACCTCCAAACTCTGAATCTCCCCAAGATCTTTCAGCATCCCTTCGTTCCTGTCACTGTCCCGGCCCTGGCTCCTCCAGTTAGTGAAAAGGAACAACCACAACAGAGAGCAGAGACAAGAAAAGGCAGAAACGAACAGAATAATAACGTTCATTGCCTTTCGTGACAAATTCCCAAGTTTACCTTCCTAAAGCTGACAGACAACTATTCTATCTGAAACAAAAAGGAAATGAATAGCGAGCTCAAATAGCATAGTGCTCAGGAGCTCAAGCTGCAGAATCAGTAGGCGCAGCTTTGTTTCCCAGCTCTGCCATTTCACTGGCTGAGGGACCTCAGGATTTACCCTGCTAAGGCTCAGTGTTCTCATCTGGAAAGTGGAGATATTGACGTTCCCTACCTCCCAGAGCTGCTGTAGACATGTAAAGAGACAACTACAAAGTGCTTGACTGAGCTTAGGATAAGAACTCAAGAGATGGAAGCCAGCACTACTTTGTCAATGAAACTTGGGAGAAACCAAAGGACAAATTAGAAGTGGAAAGTATTTGCTGCCCTTCAGGAGCTCACAATTTAATCGGAGAAGCAAAACACAAGAAAAGATACCTAATATAATTCAGGGAAAGGTCAGTGTCATAGATAATAGCCATTGTACGAGTTCTGAGGGAAGAGAAATTTGTGAACACTGAGGAAGGGGGTCAAGATGCTATAAAAGGCACAAAACTTTTGTTTAACTTTAAGAAATCAGTAATTTTTAATGTACAGCAATTCCTCTACTGTCTTCATCGTCCTTAAAGTTCAGAGATGGTAGAAAATCGCACATGATTTTGGAGGACAAAATCTGTGACTACACCTATTGAAAATGCTCTGAGTCTTAATGTTTTGCCCTATTGGCTATGGGAGTCCTATCAAAAGGGAAAATTGGAACAAGCTCCCAATAAGATAACTATGGAGTAGGTCCTGGGATTGCTCGCCTCTGCCCCATCATCTTAGACAACTTGCAAGGACAGTTGGGTACAGATCAAATCAGCTCCTATTACCTATCTCTGCTGGGTGTTCCTCAGTCTAATCATCCACAGGTCAAGACCATCTTTCGACACTCCCATACAGCCATGTCCTCAACTCTTGTGTTGTCTGAAAAAATCAATCAAGGCCCAAAGATGACAAAATTATACTTCTCTGAAATATTTTATTATTAATAATTTTACATATTAATAAATGTGAACTTTGATTAAAAACAGCAGCAAGCACAAACTTACTTGTGTAAAAAAAAAAAAAGCCAATTATATTACACCATAAAATGAAGGCTCAATGGTCTCTAGGTCATAGTCAGACATCAGCTTCCTTGAGCAATTAGAATAGGCCCTTATGGGGCACTCAGTGGGTAAGACCATTAGTAAGTTCTTGAAAAATAAGGCTCACCATACTCAGGGTGTCTGGCAGGGATCTAGCATAGACCAGATGCTAGGGCTGCTCTGTATTCTCTGCTTCTCCCATAGCCAATCTCTAGCTCTCAGGAGCAAGTCAAAGTGGAGGAAAAAGAATCCTCAGTGACATCAGCATCTTGGTGGAGTGAGTTGTTCCCTTTGTCTCTACTCCCTAAATTATAACTAAACGGACATTCATTAGCCAACAAAAGATTCCCACAAAGTATAAGAGGACATCTGAGAGATTCACACAGCCATACTTTTGAAGGTGGGGGGACTGGATTCCTGGCAAGAAGTGGAAAGAGGTGATGAGATCCCTCTCCCTCCCCGGCGGCAGTGGTCTAGGTCGTGGGTCCTCATACAGCAGCCGGTGCACAACTGTAAGAGAAGGCAAGGTGGCAGGCAGGCCTGCACATGAACACATTCACTTTCAGAGTTGCAGCCCAGCCATGGCAGCACCCACCATGCCACAGTGCCCTGCCCATGGGAACACTCTCCGTGGAGTGGTGCGGCTCAGCCACCATGAAGGAGCCCCCACCAAGTGCAGCAGCCCAAGTGAATCACCCATGAACACAAAGCCAGCCCACGCACATGAAAGAAAGCACCTCTCCCCTCCCACCTAGTGCACCAGCTCAGCTGGTCCCCTCCCAGGCAGCAGTCCCACACCAGAGCACTTGTCCCTGCATGTGTGACCCACCAAGTAGCTGTGGTCAGTGGGCAAAGGCAGACGAGCCCTACTGGCACAACTTCCAGCAGACACAGCGGGTTCAGAAAACCCAGAGGTGGCAGGTGGAATCTGTGACCTGATAACACTACAAATGCCCCATCAAAGGATTAGTTCACCAAACACTGTGAAAAACTACAGTAACTCTTCAGAGCAGAAGATAAATGACAAGTCTCAAGAAACCAATCTTGAAGTTACAGAAATAAACAAGCTAAATGACAGAGAATTCAGAATAGCTGTCATAAAGAAACTCAACAAGTTACAAGAAAACTGATACAGTTCAATGAACTCAGGAATAAAATTAATGGGCAGAAGGGACATTTCACCAAAGAGATTAAACTCTAAAAAAACACAAACAGAAATTCTAGAGAAAGAACACAATTAATGAGACAAAAAACAATCTAGAATCCTTAAATAATAGAGGTGATGTTATGGAGGACAGAATTAGTTATGTAGAGGATAGAAATATAGAAATGCTTCAGGCAGAGGAGAGAGAAATAAGATTTTTTTTAAATGAAGAGATTCTTCAAGAAATACCCAACTCAATTATGAAATGCAACATAAGGATTATAGGTATTCAAGAAGGAGAAGAGAGGGAGGAAGGAGGAGAGAGCTTATTAAAGAAATAACAGCTGAGAAATTCTCAAACATGGGGAAGAAACTGGACATACAAGTACATGAAGCCGATAGAACTCCTATTTACATCAAAACAAAAAGACCTTCTCAAAGGCATATGAAAGTAAAACTGGCAAAATGACAATGATGAAGGAAAAATATTATGGCAGCCAGGGAGAAGAAAATAATCTACGAAGGAAGCCCTATCAGGCTTTCAGTGGATTTCTCAGCAGAAACCCTACAGGCTAGGAGAGAATGGAATGATATATTCAAAACATTGAAAGACAAAAACTTTCAGCCAAGATTACTCTATCTAGTGAGACTTTCCTTCAGATACAATGGAGAAATAAAAGCTTTCCCAGATAAACAAAAGCTGAGGGAGTTCATCACCACTAGACCTCCTTTACGAGAAACGTTGAAGGAAGACTTCATGCTTGAAACAAAAAGGCAAAAATTTATAAAGCTTCGAGAAAGCAGATAAATAGGTAAAATCAGAATATTGTAGCTCTCTATCAGAACAGGTTAACAAACACTTATAAGATAAAATATAAGAGAAGGAAAGCATCAAAAATAACTATAAACACTTCAATTTAGTCACAAACTCATAACACAAAACAGAATAATTTGTGAAAACAACAACTCAGAAAGGGAAGAGGAAAGGGATGGAAACTGCTTAGGCTATTGGAGACAAGAGGCTATCAGAAAACGGACTATTTCCTCTATGAGATCTTTTATACGAACCTCATGGTAACCACAAATCAGAGCATATATACACAATGGAATACTACTCAGCCATAAGAAATGATGAAATCCAGCCATTTGTGACAACACAGATGGACCTTGAGGGTATTCTGCTGAGTGAAGTAAGTCAGAGGGAGAAAGTCAAATACTGTATGATCTCACTCATAAGTAGAAGATAAAAACAACAAGAAACAAACACATAGCAATAGAGATTGGGTTGGTGGTTACCACGGGGGAGGGGGGGTAGGGCAAAAGGGGTGATTAGGCTCACATGTGAGGGGATGGACTATAATTAGTTTTTGGGTAGTGAACATGATATAATCTACACAGAATTTGAAATATATTATGATGGACATCCAAAAGCTATATGATGTTATAACCCAATGTTACTGCAATTAAAAATAAACAAATAAATAAAGTTGGAAAAAAACAAAAAAGAAACAAAACAAAACAAAACAAAACAAAACAAAACAAAAATATATATATATATATGTACAAAATGGAATACTACTCAGCCATAAAAAAGACAAAATCATCCCATTTGCAGCAACATGGATGGATCTTGAGGGTATGACGTTAAGTGAATAAGCCAGACAGGGAAAGACAAACACCACCTGATTTCAC